GTTATTAATAACTGTACTTTTTAATATTTACCCACTGAGGCCTATTGTTTCATTCCTAAATTTTAGTAAACTTTTTTAATCTTCAATTTTTTTAGACTTTTTATCGCTTCTTTTTTTATATGCACCTAATACTAAGTGTTGATTGTATCAAACAGTTTTTACATAAAACTGACAATAAATAAACTGAATTTATTTTCCATGTGAATTTAATACAGTTTGACACTGACTTCTGTCTGTTTACAGACTTTATTAGTTTTAGCACCAGAACTATTCGAACACATTTGAGCCTTTCTGTTAAAAATGTTTTTAAAAGCCTATAAATATTGTGCAAAGTGCTGATCCCTGCACACAAACCCAGTCTTCCTCATGCATCCATGCGTTGTACACCTGCAGTCATTTTCAGCTCGTATCCAGCCCAGTTTTTATCTGCATTAAGTTTATAATTGTTGCTGTATAAATTATTCACGTAGAAACCAGTTTGTTGCTTTGCAGAGTGAAAAAAAGTGTTGATTAAGAGCTTCAGCTCAAGCAGCAGATTTAAACACACATTTATACACTGGTGGTATAAAATCTAACCTTACCCTGGCAGTATGTGTTGGTCAGGTGCACGCAGAGCCAGTGGGCCTGCTTGTCAGAGGACCCCTCCATGGTTCCAGGGTCTTTATGCTAAAAAAAAAAAAAAAGAGCCCACGCTCTGGTCAGCTCCAGGTGCTCCCTTCGAGACGACTGGCGACAAATGAAATGTCTTTGGGCGTTTTTCAGTTGCTTTTTATGCAGCGCTTCCTGTGGAACGCAGGAATTGGACGGACAATCCCAAAGCGGACTTCCTGTGAGTGTTTGGCGCTGATAAAACCCCCTCTCCTGCACAAACACTCTCCATCCTGCTGGAATCTGATTTTAAAGCACTTTTCTGCTCCGATTGTGAAGCAGACATCTTGAAGGGGGGGCTTCTCACCTCTTGGCCTTCTGTTGCCTCTGCAGGGCTGATAAAAACAGGCCCGTTCTGGATTTAGCGAAGCCTAAGGGTAAACTCAGCACACAAGACTGCTGTTCCCATATTTTTAACTCCTGGAGGGGGTGCACAGGCTGATGTTTACAGCTGTCAGAGATCAAATCTGTCAAATTGCAGCTTGAAGCCAAAGAGTTGCCTGATAAGAACTCTGGTTTTTTCCCCCTTCCTGCTTCTGTGCTTCAGTGCAGCTAACTCTTAGAGCTCCCAAGGCCTAAATTGTGAAATCCTTGTTCAAGCTTTGATAGTCATTGTTCTGATTTACACAGGAGCCAAAAAACAAAAGAAAAAATATTAATGCATAATAAAAATCTCAGATAATTTCGGACGGAGGACGGTTGGAAACTGGCGTATATCGTAAGCCCACC